TGGCCACTAGTCCATTCACACTGCAGGCTGACTGCCCTGTCATTACCTCCCGTGGCCACTAGTCCATTCGTACTGCAAGCTGACTCCCCTGTCATTACCTCCGATGGCCACTAGTCCATTCCAACACACAACCGGTTAGTGCTATATAGTATACACTATATACACTACACTATACACTACACTATACACTACACTATAAACTACACCATACACTACACTATATACACCATACACTACACTATACACTAGACTATAATTGTTAATGTAGTAGTGGGTATACTCTCCAACACACAACCAGTTAGTGCTGTACAATAAACACTATACACTGCATTATACACTACACTATATACACTACACTATACACTACACTGTAATTGTTAATGTAGTAACGGATTGGCATCTGCTCGCCATGACGGCACCTGAGCTACTGTGGCCACTCAGCGAATTTTCATTATTTCTTGAACCTCGGGGGTTCAGGAGGTAACTAAATAAATAATCTCCCCCCCCATTTGCCCTGCGTCGAGAGCTCCCTTCTCGGTACCCACTGCCCCCCCCCCTGCCTCCCCACCCCCACCTACCCCCACCTACTCCCCCCCCCCACCTACCCCCCACCTAGCCCCCCACTTACCCCCCACCTACAACCACATCTACCCCCCCCCCCACCAACCCACCCTACCTACCCCCCACCTACCCTCACCCCACCTACCCCACCTGCCTACCCCCCACCTACCTACCCCCCACCTACCCTCACCCCGCCTACCCCCCACCCACCCACCCCACCTAACCCCCACCTACCCCCCTCCCCACCTACAAAACCACCTAGCGCCCACCTATTCCCTCCACCTACCCCCCACCTACCCCACCTACCCCCACCTACCCCCCCACCTACCCCCCTACCCCCCTACCCCACCCACCTACCCCCCCTCCCCCCCCTCCACCCCCCTCCACCCCCCTCCACCCCCCCCTCCACCCCCTGTGGAGGCGACACGTGTCGGCCGAGGCGGTCCGGCGAGACACTCAGCACCGATGGATGAACGGGAGGAGCAAATTGAAGCCCCCCCCACCGCTGATTAAGTGGCAATAATTACTTAAGCGGCTGGGGCGTAGGCGGGCAGCGGTGGTGGGGGCCCAATAATTTAAATATAATAATGATGATGATGATATATTTCACTTTGTATTTTATTACTTCATTTTTGCTCGGCTGTGCGAAGTTAATTAGCGCGCGCGTGCGCGTGCGTGCGCGTGCATGCGCGCGCGCGCGCGATAAATGTCGACATTTGTCTTCGTCATGGCACGCGCGGTGACCCGGTGGTTTTTCGACAACAACAACAATAAAAACAAAACACGTGGCAACGCCGATTTCGTGATGCGAAATAGTCCACGCGGGGTTTTGTTGTTGTTGTGTTTATTGGGATGCAATTGTGAACGGCGGCCACATCAGAGACTGGTAGGGCGGATTTTCGTCTTGACCCACCCTACCCCCCATGGGGGATGCCGAGGTGCCCTTTCTCGTGGCCGTGTGCGTGAGAAACATGTGGCAGGATTTTTTTTTATATATATACATTCTTTTAGAAGTGCAATCATCGAAAACACAAGTCAAGCACGTGGCAACGTTAGCACACAACTTATTTCGTCTCGTTAAAGCTCCTATGAATAATACAATTAGTAAGGTTTGTCACGTAAACAGAACATGCCAATTCGTTACTCACCCCCCCCCCCAAAAATAATCCTGTATTATGGATGATATTGGTCGCGAGAGCCTACGTGTTAAACTGACTAAACCCTCTTCTTTGGTTCTTTCGGGTAAAGTCACGTAGAATGAGAATGAAATAATAAATTAATAAAATTAAATAACACAATAAAATTCTCACGACGTTATTTTACTTTATAAATTTATTATTTTATTCTCATTCTACGTGACTTTACCGAAAGAACCAAAGAAGATGAATCCTTGCAGTCACGAAAGCTTTAAATTGACTAAACCCTGTGTGGTTATTATGAACATTGTACATCTTTTTTTTGTTAACGATTAAGAAGCAAAGGGTGGTACAAGGCTCCATCAAAGGTTCAGAACCACTGCATGAGTACCATCTCATCGGTATTATAATCATCATCATCGGATTCACTGCCGCTCAAAGACTCAGTAATCCCCTGCAAGGCGCGTGTGGTGCAAGTTCAGAAATGGCTCGTGTGAGTGCGTGCGTGTGTGCTGCTCGGCATTTGAAAGCATGCAGACTCAGAACCGGTTAAATTCAATGTGGAAACGCGAGTCTCTGCCACCACCCCCAGCCACCCACTCCCGCGTATGAGAATGCGACAAATGGCCACGAGTGAAAACGCAGCGATGTCCCTCTGGCTTCTAGTAACTGCTTCACTGAGGGAGGGAGGGAGTGGAGGTGAGAGAAGGAGGGAGAGAGTGGAGTGGAGAGATGGAGGGAGGGAGGGATTGGAGGTGAGAGAGGGAGGGAGAGAGTGGAGGGAGTGGAGTGGGGAGATGGAGGGAGGGAGGGATTGGAGGTGAGAGAGGGAGGGAGAGAGTGGAGGGAGTGGAGTGGGGAGATGGAGGAAGGGAGGGATTGGGAGGTGAGGGAGGGAGAGAGTGGAGGGAGTAGAGTGGAGAGATGGAGGGAGGGAGGGATTGGAGGTGAGAGAGGGAGGGAGAGGGTGGAGGGAGTGGAGTGGGGAGATGGAGGGAGGGAGGGATTGGAGGTGAGGGAGGGAGAGAGTGGAGGGAGTGGAGTGGGGAAATGGAGGGAGGGATTGGAGGGAGTGGAGGTGAGAGAGGGAGGGAGAGAGTGGAGGGAGTGGAGTGGGGAGATGGAGGGAGGGAGTGGAGGTGAGGGAGGGAGGGAGAGGGTGGAGGGAGTGGAGTGGGGAGATGGAGGGAGGGATTGGAGGTGAGGGAGGGAGAGAGTAGAGGGAGTGGAGTGGGGAGATGGAGGGAGGGATTGGAGGGAGTGGAGTGGGGAGATGGAGGGAGGGAGTGGAGGTGAGGGAGGGAGTGGAGGTGAGGGAGAGAGAGAGGGAGGGATATTTAGAGACGGGGAGGGTAGTGGGGTGCATTTTTTTGCGAACAACAGCCATATCAGACAATGAGCGCCTTCTAATCGGCATAATAATCATCATAGGATTCACTGCGGCTCAAAGACTCAGCAGTCCCTGCAATGCGCGTGTGGTGCAACTTAAGGGATGCCTCGTGTGAGTGCGTGCGTGCGTGTGCTGCTCGGCATTCGAAGGCCTGAAGAATCTGTGATTTCGACTACGGTGTGTTTATCAGTGACGGCAGAGTTCCATATCCGGACGGCAGAGTCGAAGAATCATAATTTGTAATTCATACTGGAGAAATCCGATGAGCTATAAAGCTCCTTTTTCAGCGATGTCCAGTCGGGGTGGGTAATAACGTTACAAACAACCCCACGATCGGAGTGCAGAGTTCAATGAAAGGTAAACAAATAACCCAAACACAAACAAAGACAACACTGAACCATCCCCAGCCTACCGGGCAAAGCCCACTGTGGTATATTAAATAATTTTTCACAAGCGACCTGGCCACCAAAAATGATAAGCTCAGCAAAGTGGCTGTCATAATTTGGAACATTTATAGCAGCGAAAAAAACCTCAAAAGTATAATCGCGTGTTGCTAAATGTGGAGGGACGAACCGGGGGACGAGGAGAAAAAAATCCACGTGACCACGGGGAGAGAGAGAGAGACACGCAAACTCCAAATATACAGCAGCAGCAGGCGTCAGGGTCCAGGATCGAACCCACGACCTCCTGCACACCAGGCGAGGTAGTTAACATCTCCTAGCCACCGTGATGATAATGAGAGAGAGAGACACGCAAACTCAAAATATACAGCAGCAGGCGTCAGGGTCGGGATCGAACCCACGACCTCCTGCACACCAGGCGAGGGAGTTAACATCTCCTAGCCACCGTGATGATGATGAGAGAGAGACACCGCAAACTCCAAATATACAGGAGCAGCAGGCGTCAGGGTCCAGGATCGAACCCACGACCTCCTGTACACCAGGCGAGGTAGTTAACATCTCATAGCCACCGTGATGATGATGAGAGAGACACGCAAACTCCAAATATACAGCAGCAGGCGTCAGGGTCGGGATCGAACCCACGACCTCCTGCATACCAGGCGAGGTAGTCAACATCTCCTAGCCACCGTGATGATGATGAGAGAGAGAGTTAGAGAGAGACACGCAAACTCCAAATATACAGCAGCAGCAGGCGTCAGGGTCGGGATCTAATCCACGACCTCCTGTGCACCAGGCGAGGTAGTCAACATCTCCTAGCCACCGTGATGATGATGAGAGAGAGAGACACGCAAACTCAAAATATACAGCAGCAGGCGTCAGGGTCGGGATCTAATCCACGACCTCCTGTGCACCAGGCGAGGTAGTCAACATCTCCTAGCCACCGTGATGATGATGAGAGAGAGAGACACCGCAAACTCCAAATATACAGCAGCAGCAGCAGACGTCAGGGTCGGGATCGAACCCACGACCTCCTGTGCACCAGGCGAGGTAGTTAACATCTCCTAGCCACCGTGATGATGATGAGAGAGAGAGAGGCACCCAAACTCCAAATATACAGCAGCAGCAGGCGTCAGGGTCGGGATCGAACCCACGACCTCCTGTGCACCAGGCGAGGTAGTCAACATCTCCTAGCCACCGTGATGATGATGAGAGAGAGAGACACGCAAACTCCAAATATACAGCAGCAGGCGTCAGGGTCGGGATCGAACCCACGACCTCCTGTGTACCAGGAGAGGTAGTTAACATCTCCACGTGCGGCGTCGCCACCGCCGCCTTCTGGTGGATGTGTGGCATTGTCGTCATCGTCATCAGCAGAAGCAGAGACTCAAGACGACAGTGGTTGTCCTGCTGACCCCCCCCAACCTCCTGTCTACCCCCCCCCTGACCCCCCCCCCCCACGCTCCTGTCCCCCCCCCTGACCCCACGCTCCTGTCCCCCCCCCTGACCCCCCAGAGATGCCCAGCCCCTCCAGCCACCGCGTGTCGTGCGGCCACCACTCCCCGCTCGTCCAGACGGCGGTGTGGAGCCACAAATACTGCGGTCTGTCTGGGGCCCACCTCGTCCTGCTCGACAGCGACGAGGTGACCACCAGCACCTTCGCTACTCCTGCGGCTGCTGATGCTGCTGCTGATGATGATGCTACTGATGCTGCTGATGCTGCTGATGCTGCTCCTGCTGATGCTGCTGCTACTGATACTGCTACTGCTGATGTTGCTATTGCTGATGTTGCTACTGATGCTGCTGCTGCTACTGCTGATGCTGCTACTGAAACTGCTACTCCTGCTGCTACTGCTGTGGCTACTGATGCTGCTACTGATGCTGCTACTCTTGCTGCTACTCCTGCGGCTGCTGATGTTGCTACTGATGCTGCTGCTAATGCCGCTACTGCTGATGCTGCTACTGATACTGCTACTCCTGCTGCTACTGCTGTGGCTACTGATGCTGCTGATGTTGCTACTGATGCTGCTACTGCTGATGCTGCTACTGCTGATGCTACTCCTGCTGCTACTGCTGTGGCTACTGATGCTGCTGATGCTGCTACTGATTCTGCTACTCTTGCTGCTACTGCTGTGGCTACTGATGCTGCTGATGCTGCTGATGTTACTGATGTTGCTACTGCTGCTGCTCCTATAGTTACTGCTGCTGCTATTGATGCTGCTGTTGCTCCTGTTGCTACTACTGCTGCTGCTTCGACTGCTACTACTGATGCTGCTGCTACAACTGCTGCTACTGATACTGCTACTACTGCTGCTACTGCTGCTACTGATACTGCTGCTGCTGCTACTGCTGCTACTACTTACTCCTCCTGCTACTGCTGCGAGCTGGCGAGGGGGCATTTGCATGCAAACGGATGGGCGGTGCTTTGCCTTCCCACCGGACCTCAGATCAATTAATTACCGGATAGGGCATCCAGCCGGAATGAATTCCGGGTTTGCTCGGCAACGGGAGGAATAGATTTGAATGATAAATAATGTTAAGAAATTAGTTTTGTGGCAGGCCTATATTTGGAGTGATTGCGTGTGGCCGCTGCGCCAAGGACGTGATTAATCGCGTGACAGATTGAACGGTGCATTGTGTGGATTCGCATGGAGTCAGAATCAGAATATTTATTTATTCTGGAAGTTTTCCGATGGTGCCATGAAGCTCTTTTAGTTGTTTTATTCTAAATCACGCGGTGATTGGATACGTGGCTGGTGTGACAAGGCATTATTAGTTCATCGCGGTCCGCATTGAATGACACGTGAAATTATCGTGCCCACACACACACACATATTGTGTGTATATATTGGAGCGATCTCTTTGCCCAATTGAGGAATAACGGGAACGAGATTTGGTCAAGAAGCGATAGCGATTTTTTTTCGTGTATCTATGAAGAAATAACAAAGTCAATAAGTAATATTTTTTTTTAAAACTTTTTTTTTAAAAACAGGCTTTAATGAAATGTACCGTACTAGTAACGTAAGAACTCCACAACTCCAGGAAGTGGCCCCGAAGCTTGCCACAACATAAGGGGGACCGTGGGCAATTACAGCCAACGTCAGTTGACAGTGGACAATTAGACCCAAGCCGAAACATAACATATAAAAAAATAACGTTTAAAAATATATATACTTTAATTTTTAATGATATAATATAGTATTGTCATCGGTATGACATAAGTATACCAAGTTTGCAGTCGATCACACACTGGGAAGCGGGTTAAAATTGAGTTACAAGATTTGACGAAACAACAACAACAGACAGAGTGAGTTAAATAAAAGCGTGTAATGTAATAAAAAAGCAAAAATCATCCGTAACGTGATTGGTCAGTCGGTCTGTCCAGGGATTCCATCTGTGCTGCATGCCATAGAGAAGGAGGAGGGGGGGGGTCATAATGGGTCACTTGTCATGCGGAGTGAGTGAGTGAGTGTGCGTGTGTGCACGCTCTAGGTCGACTCAGCCTCAAATGAGTACCACGGCGCGGTGTGTGGTCAACGTCGCCACTGTGGGGAGACAAAGGCGGCCGGGCGTGGTGCTGGCCACCCACCCCCCTCGTGCGCCGTGGCGGCCTTCATAGGTGCCGCTGGCGAACAGCACTCGCCCCAACAGTCTGTTCAGGCTACACGGCGGGATCTGTGTCTTCTTCTTCTTCTTGCAGTTGTATGCACGTCACAGTGTTGTTACGTCTTCGTTACTAGTGTACTGATTCAGACAGAATCACTACACTACTAGTGTAGTGATTACACTACTAGTGTAGCGTCAACGATTCAGACAGAGAGAGAGCTTATAGGAGGCACCTTCTTTATGAACAACTCTCACGGTCTCGCCCGCACACTCCCCACCGTAGCTCAGCCCGGCCTGTACACGACGCCCTGGCTGTCCAACACTGACGGCGCTGACCGGGATAGCCAACTTCTCTCCCTCGTAGCGAAACACCCAGCGGTTGACGTTCAGCGACGACTGCTCACGCCTACACGACAGCCACGACGAGACGAGTCCACTCCCAGAACCGGCAGCCTCGAGCTCCCCCTCCTTTTCTGCTACCCCAGCGTGGCCCCGGCTCCGCCCCGACCGCGCGCCCCCATCCCTTCCTGAACCCGCCAGCAGCAGATTCCAGGGGCCACCAGACGGGGTCCTCCGTGACCCTTGCCCCGAGTTCCTCCGCCAGTGCTCAGGCTCGCCGGCGCGTGCGCCGCCAAGATCCCCCGCAGTTACCGCCGCTGTCCACCAGCCGGCGCCATGACACTAGAAGCGATTTGAAGCTTTCGTGACTGCGAGGATTCACCTTCGTTGGTTCTTTCGGTAAAGTCACCACGTAGAATGAGAATGAAAGGATGAAGTAAGACAATAAAAATTCTCACGAGTGTTTCGGCCACAACACAAGCGGGCCCTCCTCAGGTGAAGAAATGGGTCACTCGGGCTCTGTCTCCTGGATAGACCTGTTTCTTCACCTGAGGAAGGCCGCTTGCGTTGTGGCCAAAACGTCGTGAGAATTTTATTGTCTCACTTTCTATTTTATTCTCATTCTACGTGACTTTACCGAAAGAACCAACGAAGATACACTAGACGTGTTTTAACGTGATTCGTTAGAAATGAAGCCGATGCGAGTTTAAAAAAAAAAAACAGATTGCACGTCGGGTAGTTTCGCGAACGTGCAGAACCGCGAGGCGGTAAAACATCTGCGGCGTGCGCCGGGGTCAAGGACACTGCCGGGGTCGGGGGGGAGACGAGTGGGGGGGGGGGGGTCTCCCTCGCTGTACGCGGAGTTCGCTTTGTGCAATTTAGCGCTGTGTTATGCGGCTGTAACCCTGTGTCTACCCAACTGTTCGCAATGGATGAGTTCGATGGGTTTCTCTGTGCGAGTCGATGGGTCTCTGTGGGACAATCCGCGCAGAGTGACAGCACCCCCCCCCCATCATCGTCATTGTGCTGCTGTCAAACGCCCAATGATTTCCGGTGGCGTGGTGGTTGCTTATTGGCGAAAGTGGCCCACCCTCTGAAAATGTGTTAACACACTGAACTACATTATACACTACTGTACACTACATTATACACGACTGTACACTATAAGTAACACTAATATACACTACATTATACAATACTATACACTACATTATACACTACTGTACACTATAAGTAACACTAATATACACTACATTATACAATACTTTACACTACATTATACACTACTGTACACTATAAGTAACACTAATATTCACTACATTATACACTACTATACACTACACTATACACTACTATACACTACACTGTAAACTAATATAAACTACTCTACACTATACAACACACCACACACTACTATACACTATACACTACACTTTACCCTCTACTATACTATTCACTACACTAAACCCTCTACTATACACTACACTATACACTACACTATACACTACACTATATACTACACTATACACTACACTATACACTACTATACACGACACTATACACTATACACTACTATACACTACACCATAGACTACTGTACACTACACCATACACTACTATACACTACACTATACACTACAATACACTACTATACACTACGCTAGACAATACACCACACACTACTCTACACTATACCCTATACTATACACTACTACACTACACTATACAGTACTATACACTACACTATACAGTACTATGCACTACACTATACATTACTATACACTACACTATACACTACACTATACACTACTATACACTACACTATACACTGCACTATACACTACTATACACTACACTATACACTGCACTATACACTACTATACCCTCTACCATACACTACTATACACTACACTATACACTGCACAATACACTACTATACACTACACTATACACTACTATACACTACACTATGCACTGCACTATACACTACTATACACTACACTATACACTGCACTATACACTACTATACACTACACTATACACTGCACTATACACTACTATACACTGCACAATACACTTCACTATACACTGCACTATACACTACTATACACTACACTATACACTGCACTATACACTACTATACACTACACTATACACTGCACTATACACTACTATACACTACACTATACACTGCACTATACACTACTATACACTGCACAATACACTACACTATACACTGCACTATACACTACTATACACTACATTATGCACTACACTATACATTACTATACACTACACTATACCCTCTACTATACACTACACTATACACTACAATATACTGTACCCTCTACTATAAACTACACTACACTAAGCACTACACTAAGCACTACACTATGCACTACTATGCACTACACTGTACACTACTATGCACTACACTATGCACTACACTATACACTACACTATACACTACTGTACACTACTACACTACACTATACACTACCACACTATGCACTACACAATACACTACTATACACACTACTATACACTACACTATACACTACTATACACTACTACACTATACACTACACTATACACTACACTATACACTAGGGCCCTCCTCACTCACACTACTGGTGATGTCTTACCGGCGAAAGTGGTCACGCGCACCCTCCGCCTCTGAGCGAGTGAAGACCACCGACACTGAGCCTACAGCGCCGCCACTGGACCTTGTTGAGTCATCCGCTCGGACGCCAGGCCGCGTCGTGCGGCTCGCGGAACGATTAAAGCTCGCCGTGGTGGCTATGAGATGTTGACTACCTCGCCTGGTGTGCAGGAGGTCGTGGGTTCGATCCCGACCCTGACGCCTGCAGCTGTATATTTGGAGTTTGCGTGTCTCTCTCTCATCATCATCACGGTGGCTAGGAGATGTTGACTACCTCGTTTAGTGTACAGGAGGTCGTGGATTCGATCCCGATCCTGACGCCTGCTGCTGTATATTTGGAGTTTGCGTGTCTCTCTCTCTCATCATCATCACGGTGGCTAGGAGATGTTCACTACCTCGCTTAGTGTGCAGGAGGTCGTGGGTTCGATCTCAACCCTGACGCCTGCTGTATATCGTGTCGTAACCCTCCACCACCCGACACAGCCAATTAGTAAACGATTTGTCACGTAAACAAAACGCCAATTAGTGTTGGAGAGTCAATTGTAAATGTTGTGGATTTACTCTCCAACACACCGGTGGGCTGAAGTAGTATATTGCACTACACACTACACTACACACCACACTATACACTATACTATACACTATACAATACACTACACATTTCACTAGACACCACACTATACACTACACTATACACTACACTATACACTACACTACACACTATACTCGTAACTAAATTGGCGTGTTTGTTTACGTGGCAAATCCCTTACTGATTGGCTGTGTCGGGTGGTGGAGGGCTACGGCACGACATTTTTTCTTAGGCGACCTAACCCAAAAACCTTTATTGTGAAATCGATGTAATGATGTGTAATCGCGTATCTAATCGTGATTTCGGGAAATTTGACGCGCGAGACTGCTTGCGGTTACGCATCGGGGTTATATAGTACTCGTTTAAGGCTGAGTGGACCTAGGGGTAGGCGCAGAAACTCCGGTTCAGATATTCGTCGCCGGTGTTGGCCGTGAGCAGGAATCGAACTCGGTTGTAGACAGTGCGCTAACCACTTGCACCATCGCTCCCCCCCCCACCTCCCACCGACACACAAAGCCAAAGATCCTCCGCATAGCCTCGACAGAGTTTTGGGGCAAGTGCAGTGAGCAATCAACTACCCACACACACACACACGCGGGAGGTCACGTGCACCCGGGGTGGGGAGGTCACGTGTACCCGGGGTCGGGAGGTCACGTGTACCCGGGGTCGGGAGGTCACGCACCCGCGGTCAGGTCACACACACGCGGGAGGTCACGCACCCGGGGTCAGGAGGTCACGTGTACCCGGGGTCGGGAGGTCACGTGTACCCGGGGTCTGGAGGTCACGTGTACCCGGGGTCGGGAGGTCACGTATACCCGGGGTCGGGAGGTCACGGTTTCCACACCACACAGCTCACCAGCGAGCCCAGCACAACTATACTCGGCTGAACACGTGCATGCTCATGATGACAATAACGGTGATCGCCATGATAGTGATGATAGCAATGGTGATGATGACGATGATAATCAAGATAATAACGATAATGATGATGATGATAACGATGCTGACGATAACGATGATAGCGACGATGATAACGATGATAATGACGACGATAACGATTTTGATGATAACGATGATGACAACGATAACTGTGATTATAACGATGACGACGATAATGACGACGATGACGACGATGATGACGATTATAACGACGACGATAACGATTTTGATGATAACGATGATGACAACGATAACTGTGATTATAACGATGACGACGATAATGACGACGATGACGACGATGATGACGATTATTACGACGACGATAACGATTTTGATGATAACGATGATGACAACGATAATTGTGATTATAACGATGACGACGACGATAATGACGACGATGATGACGACGACGATGACGACGACGATGACGACGATTGTTGACACGGGCACGTGCAGGTGAACCCGTGGATCGCGCCGGACGGCTCCGAAGACCCGGACGAGCCCCGGGGTCTGCGACGGACCGTGAGTGTCCCCTCGGAGCGCCAATTCCCGGAGTACCTCCTGCCCCAGCACGCCGGTGGGTACCGCGGGCTGACAATCCTAGTCAAGAGCCCTATGGCTCACAGGGTTATCTGTATGTCCATGTACAGGGTAGTCCCCGACTTACGATGGAGATGCGTTACAACGACCCCTTCGCAAGTCGAAAATATCGTAAGTCGAAGATGGCCTGGCCTACCCAGGAGTCTTAAAGGACGGTGGTAATTTAGCAAAACAGAGCGATTTTCAGTACCGTGCCGTATAAACCATACACTGTGTGCATTTATTAATTACAATAATGTATTGCACAGTAAAATGTTCAGTAAATTAAAAAAACAAGGTAAATACTTAGCCTACCTATATGAACTGCAATTTAATAGAAAGGCGGGAGACGCGTACATCCCGGCAGCGTCCCAATCGTACAGTCTCGTAGTACCTCGTACGCTGCTGCGTTTGCCTGCCGCGCGAAATTTAAAATATCTTACAATTTTGTCGTTTCGCTATCGTAAGATCGAAATATCGTAAGTCGGGGACCGTCGTAAGTCGGGGACTATCTCCATACATATAAAAGGCAAAGTTAAATTTTGATTTAAAGCTTTCGTGACTGCAGTAATTCATATTCTTAGTTTTTTCGGTAAAGTCACGTTGAAGAGAAACAACAACGTGACTTTACCGAAAAAACTAAGAATATAAAGGCAAAGTTGTGAATGTGTGTCTGTTCAAAATGTTTAGCGTACTTCCCGACATGCAACAAACTTGAAATTTGCCATGTGGGTACTTTCCAGATTTTACACCATGCAAAAATTATAAAAATACACTTTTGTTTTTTTTGGGGGCGGGGGGGGGGGGCTCAATAATGTAGTTGTTTTTTTTGCACGGCAAGTGAGCTGTGACGTCACATCTGTCATGTGACCCGCGCACGTGGAAGCGTAACGCATTGTAGTGTAGCGGTTAGCGCGCTGTGTATGTGTCTGTGTGTATGTCTGTCTGTGTGTATGTGTGTGTGTATCTGTCTGTGTGTGTATGTGTCTGTGTGTATGTGTGTGTGTATGTGTGTGTGGAAGCGTAACGCATTGTAGCGTAGCGGTTAGCGCTACGCTGCGCTACGAACCCGGCGACCCGAGTTCGATTCCCCGCTCACGGCCACCACCGGTGAGGATTATTTAAATCGGTCCTGGGCCTCCCCTAGGTCGACTCAGCCACAAACGAGTAACTCGTGTGGTGTGTCAACGTCGCCACTGGGGAGACAAAGGCGGCCGGGCGTGGTGAATCCAAGTCCCGGGTGAAGCCGGGTAGTAAAGCTAGTTGTAATATATTTGGAGATAAAAGGTGAATGTGTGTCTGTTCGAAATATTTAGCATACTTCCCGACATGCAACATATTTGGCATGTGGCTAGTTCCCAGACTGTACACAATGCCCAAAAGTATAAAAATTTACTTTTATATTTTTTTTGGGGGGGGGGAACGCAATCAAGGATATATTTTGAACGCAAGTGAGCGGTGACGTCACATCTCTGTCATGTCACCCGCATGCGGCAGCGTGACGCAGTGTGCCTGCTGACGTCACGCCCCTGTATCCCGAATAATGGATATAATTTACTAGGCTACAAAATTTTAATTCGCCATGTGGCTAGCTCCCACACTGTACGCAATGTAAAACGATTAAAAATAGACTTTTGAACTTTGGGGTGGGGGGGTGGATCATGCAGTGCGTGGCGTCAACCAGCACAGGACTGGTGAGAATCGATATCGGGTTTGTGGTATCGATTAAACAGGAATAGGCCGATTCTAAAGAAATCTGCAATCGTCGATTCCATTGCTCGATTTAAAGAATCGAATCTTGGCGCGCGAGCGTATGCTTTTATTTCCACCGCGCGTTGGGTTTTATTTTAATAAATGAAACTGAAACATCCAACAACACTGGGCCTCCCCTAGGTCCACTCGGCCTCAAATGAGTCCTTGCTGCGGTGTGTAAACGTCGCTACTGGGGAGACAAAGGCGGTCGGGCGTGCTGCTGGCCATGGTGGCAAAATGTTAACAACCTCGCCTGGTGTACAGGAGGTCGTGGGTTCGATCCCGACCCCTGACGCCTGCTGCTGTATATTTGGAGTTTGCGTGTCTCTCTCTCATCATCATCACGGTGGCTAGGAGATGTTGACTACTTCGCCTGGTGTACAGGAGGTCGTGGGTTCGATCCCGACCCCTGACGCCTGCTGCTGTATATTTGGAGTTTGCGTGTCTCTTTCTCTCTCTGTCCCTCCACGCTTAGAATCAACATCACCACGCGTTGAGAGTATTTGTCCGCTGTTTTAAATTTCCACGTGGTGAGGATGACGATTGCCAGTGTCGCGTCTCTGGTCCTGCCAAAGGCAACCGCAGGCGGGACTCGAAATTTTATGAATCTAGGAGAGCAAAACCTGGAAAAGCAGTTGCGAGTAGCAGCAACATCGTCAATAGCCGGCTAACATCATCACACGCCTCGCCCAAAGAGAAAGCAGTTCCAGCCCATCGCATTAGGGGCCGAGTTAATTAAATGTTTTGACCAAATATAAACGGGCTAATTTTTAAGTCGATCATTTTTCTTTGGTTAGGCCCGCGAAAGATGTTTTATAAATATCCAAATGGCCAAAAAATAAAACAACAAAAATCACGACGTTTCGGCCACAACACAAGCGGCCTTCATCAGGTGAAGGGATCAGGCCTGTCTCGAAGACAGCGCTGGAGTGAAACCTAAAGGTCGCGGTCTGAGCTTGGCTCTGTTTCACTCCAGCGCTGTCCTCGAGACAGCGCTGATCCCTTCACCTGATGAAGGCCGCTTGTGTTGTGGCCGAAACGTCGTGATTTTTGTCGTTTTATTTTTTACCTACGTGACTTTACCGAATAGAACCAAAGAGGATGGATCCTTGCAGTCACGAAAGCTTCAAATCTAGAATCCAAATGGGCCCGTGGCAGAAAAAAAAAGGTTCCCCAGTTCCTGACCTAAAGCTTAAGGGTCTCGTCCCGACCGCGAGGTGGCGTCGCTGTTCCAGCTGCGACTACGGCCACACCGCCGACTGCTCACGGCAAATAAAACTAAACTTTAAACTCTTATTTATTTTATACCAGGCGAAAAGGCCACACCGAACCGCTATGATGCAGCTCTTTGTCGCAAGACGACCCTGGCTATCAACATATTTTTTTTGTTAAATGATCGCGGCTTATTTGTCATCATCGCTGGACGTGTGGTGATGTTGTTGTTTCTTAAAGTGGAGGGGGAAAACCCGGTGGATCCGGAGAAAAATCCACGCGACCACGGGGAGAGAGATATATATATAGAGACACCGTGGGTCGAGAACGAACCCACGAACCTCCTGCACACCAGGCGAGGTAGTTAACATCTCCTAGCCACCGTGATGATGATGATGAGAGAGAGAGACACGCAAACTCCAAACATACAGCAAGGGTCAGTGTCTGGAACGAACCCACGACCTCCTGTATACCAGGCGAGGTAGTTAACATATCCTAGCCACCGTGATGATGATGAGAGAGGGAGACACGCAGACTCCAAATACACAGCAGCAGGCGTCAGGGTCGGGATCGAACCCACGACCTCCTGTATAACAGGCGAGGTAGTTAACATCTCATAGCCACCACGACAGCCAGTAACGTAACAAGCGTGCGGGCAGGGGGGGGGGGGGTTGCCTTGGCCTTCTACCGGTGGCCAAAGCTTCGAGTTGGTGGGGAGGCCCCCCCCCTTGACAACCACCATGAGATTTGTTTTCAAAACCAAGTCTATAAAGAACACACGACCACTTATTTAAAACGCCTCCAGCGTTAAAGCGTTAGTTAAGCGAGACCGTGAGCTTAAAGACGACGATACGGATTAGGGCAAGAGGAGACCACGGCGTCTAATAATAATACTACAGCCTCTGGGGTGCGACCCTGCGAAGTGACAAATCAAATATTGGACCGGAGGGCCGGAGGGCCGCACCCTCCGGGGAGAATGATGATTCTGATTCTCACTCTGCCGCTCTTTCGCACCCTCTCGGCGATCTGCAACCAAGCCAATTCCACCTCCCCATCCTCTCCTCCCCTCCCTCCCCTCCCCACCCTCTCCTCCCCTCCCCTCCCTCCCCTCCCTCCCCTCCCCTCACACGCGGGATTAATATTGAACTTTTAAATTGAACCAAGAGGCGCCACGGTGGCTATGAGATGTTGACTACCTCGCCTAGTGTACAGGAGGTCGTGGGTTCCCTCCCGACCCTGACGCCTGCTGCTGTTTATTTGGAGTCTGCGTCTCTCTCTCTCTCATCATCATCATCACGGTGGCTATGGGATGTTAACTACCTCGCCTGGTGTACAGGAGGTTCGTGGGTTCGATCCCAACCCTGACGCCTGCTGCTGTATATTTGGAGTCTGCGTCTCTCTCTCTCTCTCATCATCATCACGGTGGCTATGAGATGTTGACTACTTCGCCTGGTGTACAGGAGGTCGTGGGTTCCATCCCGACCCTGACGCCTGCTGCTGTATATTTGGAGTCTGCGTGTCTCTCTCCCTCTCTCTTATCATCACGGTGGCTATGAGATGTTAACTACCTCGCTTGGTGTACAGGAGTTCGTGGGTTCGATTCCGACCCTGACACCTGCTGCTGCTGTATATTTGGAGTCTGCGTGTCTCTCTCTCCCCCCGTGGTCGCGTGGATTTTTGTCCCGGTTCTCCTGTTTGCTTTGTCCCCCACTCCACATTTTGACAAATCAACGTGGCGAGCCTTCGAGTGAGTTGGCCGCCACTCCGCGTGTCCACACCACGGCGACTGAGCTCAGCCATTTCGCTGAGCTATCACTCGCGATGGCTGGAAAGCAAACAAAGTAAATAAATGAAGTAATATTTAAAAAAAAAACTATAAAGAACGCTTTTATGAAATGTGCTAGTAATGACAGAACTCCACAACTCCAGGAAGTGGCCCCGAAGCTTGCCACAACGTAACGGACCGTGATCAATTACAGCCAACGTCAGTTGACCTTGGACAATAAGACCCCAGCCCCAAACATATAAAAAAAG